TTTCTACATTTTTTAATGTGTTTGTTAGCCATTTGTATTTCTTTTTTTGTGTCACTTATTTGGATTCCTCTTATTTTCATCTTTTTCTAAGTTATTTTGTAGCAATATTATATATTGGGGATATGAATCATTTAACTGCCTTCTATGTTGCAGTTACTTTTTGTTGTTTGTCTTTAGCTCTAATTAATGGGTTTGTTTGTGTTTTTAAATTCATACTTTTTTAAGTAGTCAATTCTAATTTTCTCTTGTGTTGTCTAACTTGAGCCTTCCCACCTTAAGATTATATAAATATTCCCTATATTTTATTCTAGTTCCTCATGGTTTTCATCTTTACATAAATTTTTAGTACATAGAATGTCATCATGTTTTATTATGTATAACCAATATAGCTGTTTTTCTTAGTTTATTTTTACATGATTTATAGCCTTTCTCCACTTCTTTAGAATGCCACTATTTTTTTTTATCCTACAGACTTTTATCTACTTGATCTATTTCTAAATTTTTCTGTTTAGGAGAGTAGCAAACTATTTTTACTATTATTACTGTGTAATATGTTTTTAATACCTGGAAGGGAATATCTTCCTTCATTATCACTCTTCTTTTTTTAGGAAAATGTGTGTTTTCATGTGAACTTTAGAGTAATTTGAGGGAAGTTCCTTTAAAGTAATCTCAGGGCAATTTAAAATTTACTGACTTTTAAAAGTAGTTTCCATGAAAAGAAATGTATTAATTTTACTACACAAAGTTAAGAAGGGATAAAAATTTAAGACAGGACAGAAGGCTCTATAATAATTGTTATTAACTATTCTTAACAGGGGAAAAGTGAAAAGCTTCATTGTAGGAAAAACTTCACCCTCAAACCCCTTCCAGTCACAAACCACAATCACCAACTTGTTGGTGCTTCCTCGTGTACTGAAGAATTTCAACCCCAGTTCATTTTTGTAAGTAAAATTACTTCTGTGCTAATATTGATATTCTTAAGATGAATTTGTCCTCTCCCTGAGTACTAAGCCTTTCAAAATCTTATTGAAAAGCTAAGTGTTTAGATGTGCGAAATGTTTTTAAATACGTAATATCCAAAATAATATTGCTTACCAGGGCCATTATAATGCAATAATATAGAGGTAGTTAATCCTTTGGTTACATATTTAGTTCAAAGGATGTTTTCACAAGGATATTTCAATCAAGAAAATGCAATAATTAATTCCTCCCTTTAGGTACTATATTTTCTTTTTTTTAATTGAAGTTTATTGGGGTGACAACGGTTAGTAAAGTTATATAGGTTGCAGGTGTACCTTTCTGTAATACATCATCTATATATCATATTGTGTGTTCACCACCCAGAGTCAGTCCTCCTTCCATCACCATATATTTGACCCTGTTTACCCTCATCTACCATCCATATATTTTCTGTATGGAAATATCTAATTTAAAAAATAGTTATGTCTTTAGGTTTTTTTAAAAAAACAGTCATATGGAGTATTCAAGTTTGCATTTATTTATTAACCTCATTGCCTGTTCATGTTAGAACCAGATCTGTTTTACTATCTTGATTATTATGGGTTTATAATAATTCTTAAAATCAGGTAGTGTTAGTCTTTCAACTTTGTTCTTTTTTCAAAGTAGTTTTGGATATTCTAGGTCCTTTGCATTTATATATGAATTTTAGAATCACTTTCTAAATTTCTACAAAAATGCTTGCTGTAATTTTGATGGGATTGTTTTGAATCTACAGATTTATTTGGGAAAATTGCCATCTTAATAAAACTATTTTAAGTCTTTCAACCCATGAACTCATTATATCTCTTAATTTATTTAGGTCTTTAACTTCTCTTAAAGATGTTTTATAGTTTTCAGTGTACTGGTCTTTTACTGATTTATCCCTAAATATTTTTATATGTTTGGATGCTATTATAAATGGTATTGTTTTATTTACTGCTAGTATTTGGAAATACAGTTGATTTTTATATTTTGATCTTGTATCTGACAAACTTGCTAACCTCACATATTAATGATCAAAGCTTTTTTGTAGAGGCTATCAGATTTTCTACATAGTTAATCATGTTATCTGTCATTAAAAACAACTTTACTTTTTCCTTTCCAATATGAATAGCTTTCATTTCTTTTTCTTGCTTTATTGCACTGCCTTGAACCTCTAGGGCTATGCTGAATAGAAGCACTGAGAGCTAATGTCCATTCCCTGATCCTGATTTTAGGAGAAAAGATTCAGTCTAAATAACCCAAAAGTTATTTAGAATCTTCAAAACATTTTTTTATGTGTTTGTCCATGTATTAGATTTTTTTAGACAATAATCAGTCCAGTCTCTGTTATTTCATTTTGGCTGGAAGCAAAAGCCCCCTTCACTAATTTTAATATTAAATGAAAGCTTTTCAAAAGTACTTTATAGTACCTTTATAAGATATGTCAGTGTTAGTTTCCCTATTTTCAAATGAAAAAAAGCAAA